CTAACAATTTCATTTTGCTTGTAACAGCACTTTACTAGCAAGTAACGTTTGAAATGAATAGCATTCACAATACAGAAAGGTTGCCCGGGTTCTTAATCATTTTTTATCACTGTCTGACTACTCAAAGATTTGAGATTATGCAACATTTACAAAGTTGAAATTAATATATGTCATATAATTTTGGAATAGAACTTGTTAAAGGACAGGCATGCTAGATCCTAATATTTTTGTCTTGCATATGGTTTTACTATTATTACCAATTAATACTGGAGACATCTCTTTTTAAAGGTAGGCTAAATATATTTTCATTGATTACATAGTTGTTTACAAACTAGAGAAGCTGAACAGAACTAACGATACATTTTGAGAAAAAACTATTTGAAAGACTCTTTGAACTTTGCATGTGCCCTTATTCAGTGTTCTTTCCAAAACAAGAGACGGTTTTCCCTTTCTTCACGTAGGGTCCATTTGTTCCTAAACATGGAAAAAAGTCTTTTAAAGGAAACCTACGAATTGTTTTGCCGCAATAAATACTCCAAATACGAACAATCCTAACTTCGGAGTGAACAGTGATTTCTTGGGCTTCCTGTTGAAGAAATGGCGATTTAATAAGTAACTGGCAGGGGGGATTTGGGGAATGAACTGGTAGTCCGGGTGGTGGCCCGAGAAAGCTGTCCCTTTAAGATAAGCAGTGTCTTCTGGCACGAGCAGGGACCTTCCCTCTGTCTCCCAGCCCACCAGCTTGGTTCCATAAGGCGGACAATTGTTGTGGAGTTCAGCAATTGCTGGAAGACTTGACTGTAAAAAAATTACATTCTGTTCTTTTGCCTGCGTTCATGTTAAATGGGACACTATAGTAAGAGCTCTTTTCTCTAGAAAACAAGGGGGGTCATATACACATAAAATTATTGAAGACATAAGCTTTCTTGGAGGGGAAAATATGATGTGAAGAGCCACGCTTAGAGCTGACTGAAAAACATCTTTATTCTTGTCCTCAGCTAATAGGCATAAAATATATTTCATTCCTTGATAACAACATGACTAAAATACTCAATTACATATACTGAAGCAGAGAGAAGCTCGAAAACATTAGTAGTTGATTTCCTTGCTGATAGTCTGGCATTACTGATACCTCAAGCCTTCGGACTGGAAGCTCAAGCTTATGCCTGTTCTGTCCTATGCAAGGCTTTCCCCCTGTGAAGAAGGCCCCCAGCAAGAGTTCACGCTCGAGCTTTGTGCCACCGCAAGGATAGCTGGCAAGAAGCTGTAACTGGAATATTAAATCCCCGCACAGTATGCTTTCTATTCTGACGTCTTACCAAACTTGCCATAATGCGCTTGACATGAGTTTATTGAGCAAACAATGAAACAAAAATAGCTACTTCTGTGGCATGTCGAGGGTAGAGAAAGACCTGCATAGGGCGGTTTTGATTTTTGCATCAAACCTGAGTTTTGTGACAGGTCATAGAAGGCAAATGTGCAGAACTCCGTCTCTATTTTTAGTACAAATCAAAGTTACTCGGGACTAGAATAATAGTGTTTGGAGTTGTGATAGTATGAGATCAAAGCTGTATGACTCTGCCAGTCAAGATACTGAGTTGGGGACTTTTTTCACTTCACCAAATTTCACTTTACCAATGCATAAAAACATCCAGAGTCAGTGTGTGATGTTTGGATCACAGTATGACACAGTCTAGGTCTCCCTCTTTGCATATCACTAACTTAAATAGAAGTAAGACCACAATATTTGTTTTGTTGCTCCTGCATCTTTTGTATGTGTCTGAAGCAAAACTGTGAAGGAAAAAGTGAAGAAGGGGGAGATAATTGGGTGCTAGTGTATCTCAAAATCTCTTTATGTGAGAGAAAGCACAGAATCCAACTAATTACAGATTAGTAATTATCCAACTAATTACAGATACGATTCAGATGCAACACATCCATGCATTACAGACAACGGACATTTTCCTAGAATAAGGTACATCCATTCTTCTGGAGCCGGCACTAGGAACTCAGTTGTTGGTTTCTAACATTTATGTGCCTTCACTTAGTTATTAATGCTGCTTTTAGCCCCTGTGGACCAGCCATCTCATGTAAAGTACACTGTCATCTCCCGTGTGGAAGCCTTAGCAGTAACCATGGTAAAAAAAAAAAAAGTTATCTGAATTTTGGAAAGTTCTCGAGAAAGTTAATATGAATTGTCAGGCACATTTAGACTTTTTTTTTTTTAAATCGTTTCATGCCTGTGAAAATGCCAAGGGGAATTGGTTAATCTCTGTTCTAATGGTTACTAGAAACGCCTGGGGAAAAACAGCTGATTTTGCCTATAACGTCACATTTACAAGGCATAGCACGTTCATTCTTTTTCAAAGCTCCTGTAAATGTCACTGAAACATGTTAACACACGTATCTGTTTGCCTCCGTCAATAAAAACGTTGTTAACAAGTGACCCAAACGCCTCTCTCCTACCCCAGCTTCCACGTTCTGCTGCCAGGGCAGGCAGGCAGCACTGGTACTGCTGAGGGCAAGTGTCACCAGATGGAGCCATCTCGTACCTTCCTCATCCCTGAGCAGACACCCACTGTTCGAAAAACCTTTCTGGTTTCTC